TCAGCACCTTTGATCTCTCAGACTCACTTTTTTTAGCATCAAAAAACCTATTCTTACTTCTCTCAACAATTTTTTTTTAACTTCCATAATTACTAAATTTCCTCTTTTGAATAATTATTTTTTATGTAGCTGAACAGTTTTAAACCTCGGCGCTTAACAAAGGCTTCCCAATCATGACTCGGCATATACCGTACATTATGCCGAAGTCGCCTTTCGTGTCGGTTTTGCGGGTGGACAGTATTTCATGGGACTTATTATTATTATTAAGTAATTGTAATGGATTTGGTATTTTAAGACGTAACAAAAACAAATTAAAAGTCACCAACTGACCGAACTTTTGTTAATCCCCTCGTACTTATTTATTTCCTTACAATCGTTATGTTAACAATTCTAATACGGAATGAAGGAAGTATGAAATTGAGGTATTAATAAACACGCTTTTAATAGACTTTGATATGAAAATAGCTGCTGCCTGTTGCTAAATTCAATGAACAGTCGTTGGCTACCCTGTAGTGAAGACCTAAATTAATATGAATAATTTCTGCTTCAAACTTTCATTGGCAGGCGAGTACGGCACAATCGTAGTTTCTAAAACAAAATTCTAGAACAAAAATATTTTACGCCTCACGGCAGGAAATACATTGCACATACAATATTACGAGAAAATAATGAAGAATGAATTGGAAGATGTTACCGCTCGAACTACAATAGTTTTTCCTACCGGGCAGGTTGTAGCTACTCAAGCAAAAATTTGAGTAAACGAGTACTGCACTTGCTACAATTCACACATCACGGCTCATTTTGTCTTCATTCAAGCATAATTTAAGCCACTTTAAGCTAATCATAATTTCTACAATGCATATACGAGTATCGTATTTTTAGCTCCACGTAATCGTACACTTATTCCTAAGGTTATGTGCCAATTGCCGCAATCACTGGATTAGCAACAAATAGAAATTGCTAAAATAATTTGCGCTTGGCAACAACAGAATTATGAGTACGTGCATAAATCCAGTATATAAATAAAATTTATTTATTTTATAAATACATACATAGGTATGTATATATATTTTCATTTAATGCGATTTCCAATGAGGCAGTACTTTTTCGGAGATCCCGAAAAAATGCTTTCAAATCGTGCTTATTTATTACCAATTCAAACAAGCACAGATTGGTTTTAACTAATGGATTATGCGCCTCCTCAGAGACGCCGTACAGTACGCACCGAAGACGCTATTGCAGCCGTAGAGCAGTGTATTGAAGAAGACTCGAATGAGTACTTACGTTATCACGCGCAGCAGTTAAAGCTGTGCCTATACACTTTAGAGGAGATTTTACGAGAGGACCTGATGTTTCGAGCTCACAAACCCTATCTCCAGTAAGAAAAATCAATAGACCCAAACCAAGATGGCCAACGCTCACGATTTTCACAACAAAATTTTGTTCAGCGGTGAAACTCACTCTTGCTTGAGTGGATATGTTAATAGCGAAATTGTCACATTTGGAGTGATATTAAACCAAGAACCATTGTAATAATGTAATAATGTTTCAGTCATAGAGGAATGTTGTGGAGGCTTAAGTTTGGATCCAAAAAGACGCTGCTACATACCATACAGCCAACGAAACAGTCAATTTATTGAAGAAAACGTTCACATTATTTCGGGTTATGACCTTTCAAGTTCGTGCCATTTAACACCGCTGGAAAATTTTATGAAGTCGCTTCACGGAGAGAATATTTAACCATAACATTAAATTATATGAATTTCATTTCTTCTTGAAAACCAAGTATCTAAAAAAAACACCCTTACATTAGATTAGATTAAGCTGGCCAGTGGGTCTTACATAAAGGAAATACATCCATAGTGTTGCCAGGCACACTAAAAGCGACCAAGCTGTGCTGCTAATTCCGATGGTGCCTCCAGTGCGAAGAACATTGCTGTCCTTTTCGCGATCTCAAGTAATCGTTCTGGCCCCTTGGTCATTGTTTATTAAAGATCCCGCTGCCTTTCTGCGCCAAGCATACATAGCCTTTGTCTTCCGAAAGCACAGACTACGTGCTCGACTATCTGAACGCATTCCTTGTATTTCTTACATTTGTTGTCCGCAGTCAGACCGATCTTAAATGTAGAAGTGGCCAAAAGACAATGCGCCGTTAATAGGTCCTATCCGCAGGAATGCCTGTCGTAAGAGGCGACTAAAATCCAATAGTTCCCGCGGCATTCGGGCCTTTATAGCGAAACGACAGGATTATTATTCCGCCAAGGACTGTAACTCACGCAACATTCGCCAAAAAGTACTTTGGGGAATATTTTTGTTGTTACAACAACAACAGATCCCATTAGCAGCCTGAAGTCTGGTCACTTAACACATGGTACAATCTTTTTGAGTTTAGTATAGTATGTTCTACACATAGTTCTCGCGATTCTACAGCCCTTTGCTCGTTTCCGGCTTTACTTCTTGTTTCTGCTTCACTTCCTTGAATCGAACTGGGAGGATCGATGCTAAGTCCTATTCTAAATTAACACTCTCGTTAACAAATTCGTCAGCTATCTCATTACAGTCAATGCCTATGTGGCCTTACACTCATTAAATGCACACTTTCCTGTTTTCAGCCAGTACTGGAATCGCTTCTTTACATAATGCGATCACAGCTGACTTCGCGCACAGTAAACTGAAGTCCCCACTCTTTCGTTCATTTTAGAACCATCTGTGGAAACGTGAAGAGCTTTGTCTGCATATTACAGGCCTTTGTTCCAGCCAATTGCCTTCATTGTAGCTGGAAACCGCTTCCTGAAATTCAAGTGCGGGTTACGGGGTTACGTAGTCTATTCGTACGCCTATAAGCATATGGCCTCCCAGCAGATATGAATGCTATGCCTTTAGTTACCAGGTTTGCAGTAGGAATGCTTAAAATTGCTTGTCGCGTTACGGATGGTTATGTGCTGAGTGCCACAGTGATGGTGATCATTGCAAGTGTGAATACTCTTTCCAGCCTGTCGAGATGTGTAATTTTGTCCAGAGCACCGTGTGAATGTATTGGCTTAACAACAGCAATGAAGTTCCAGTGGAAGATAGCAAAGGAGGGACGCCAAATGCAGCACAACATTCTTTTGTATGTATGTACGGTCGCTGATGGCTTTTCTTCACTAGTTCCTCAACATTGAGTCTCCACGACATCTAACTGTTCAACACAATTCCTAGCTACTTAGTGCTAGGCTAACACTCTTACTAACGTGGAATTCTACTTTTAGCCCTATCCTTCGCTTCTAGGTTTATTTATTCTTAAATATTCTTTTTCTTACTTCTCTTCTATACCCATGGCACTTGGAGCAAGGTCTGGACTATAAGGCGGTTGCAAAGGATAACCCAACCCAGCTCTCGGAAATTCTGTCGAGTCAATATCTATGTGTGTTTGATCTGGCGTTGTCCGGATGGAACACAATTCACTTCCTGTTGGTCAAAAATTGGACGCTTTTGGGTGATTGCTTCCTTCAGATGGTTCTATTGCTGACAGTGTAGGTCCGAATTAAGAGTTTGGCCTTAGCGGAGCAGCTCATAGTGGATGATTCCTTGCCAATCTCCACAAACACACAGCAAAATCTTCCTATACCGTAAATTCTGGGTTGGAGACCGCTTATGCCGGCTCACTGCCTTCCGACCACAACCATTTTCAGTTGACGTTGCGCCAAGTGATTCGCTTTATATATTACCAGTCACCATCCACTACAGAAATCTTTCGATTTTGTTACGTTTCAGCAGTGATTCGCAGACGCTTCATATCGTTAACTCATGTTGTACCCATACATCGAACTTCCAAGCTGTTTTTCGGGTTTAATTGCCGGATATTCCGAATAGTGCTCGCCTGAAGTTTAGACGCGACGATTTCTGTTATTATATCGACATTTTCGACAATTGCCATATCACACCGTGGAGTTCGAGGAAACCGGCGAAACCCAAATTGTGCATAATTGACGGTTAAAGTGCTTTAATCGAAGAAAATTTTTATAATTTAGCGTACTTCCTCTCTGCTGGTGTCCGTCTATGATAAAAATATTTGAGGCATTCAAAGTTCTTGTTTTACTTTTTATTTGATTAGTATAAACAAAAGGCGCCTCATGCCTAATCAAACATTGTCAAAAACGTAGTCTGCTTGTCCCAAATCACGACTAATTCGTTAATCACAAAATCAACATTTCCCCCACACAATCCGAATTTGAAACCGAAATTAGTTGCCACATTGTGTGGCAAATTGCAACAACTTTTTTGAAAAAATAAAATATTTATACATATACGAGTATATATATATATATATAAACCCACAGCCAGTCAGCAAAACCGAATGAAAATATCTCTTCATATGTATACATGTATGTATGTATGGAATATGTTTATATACATATTTATGTTATAGTCAAATTCACACAGAATTAATTGGAGGGCGAGAAAAGCTGAGTGCAAAGTGACACAGACTGCAAAATAGCCACAAACGAGCTAGAAACTAAAACTGAAAGCAGACACAATAAACTATTTGATGTTTTTGCTGTTGTCTGTTTTTTTTTTCGTATACACATTTGTATAAATCTCTTTTTAGCCTCATTTCCTTTTCATACACGGGTGACGGGCAACTGGTAAACTAATTTAAACTTTTGTACACAAAACAGTTAACCAAGAACGGTTGCCTCGTCCGCCATTCCGCATTCGCTAAGCAGCAGCAGCAGCTTCTGCTTCTTCTTCTCCATTTTTTTTTTTGCGCTGTAAAAGCGTCATATACTTCGGTGTGGTGCCAGCGCTTATTTCTTTTCTAGTTTATCACCTTAACTTTTACTTGCCATCACAACAACAACAATCACAACAAAAACAACCAGAACAGCAACAACAAAAATCCTTGAAAAAAAGTCTTCATTGCATTTCATTTACATATCTTTGCATGTCCCGAAACGAACCAACAACAACAAACAACTACAAAACATATGTAACAATAATAACAACACTACATATAGCCGTACATTACTATCAAATAGTTCCAACGGGAAGCGTAGGCGTCGTAGGCGGCCATTCGTCTTTGTTACGACTGACGCGCGATCTTTCTGCCAAGCTAATGCTGGAGGAGCCGGCAGTAAAGGAAATCAGTTCTACAACGGAACCAACGCCGACCGTGGTCGACCAACTGCAAGGTGAGCAAGCAATGTGATACCAACAACAACAATATAATTACATAGCAAGAGACGCTGCAACATCCCCACCTCGGAGAGGGTGAGCGGTCTGACACACCACTTTTGCCATGCCCGGGCGTAACATACGAGTGTCAGTCAACTGGTACTTTGTATGCATTCAGTGGCAATGACTCTCAGGTTACCAGTGCTGTTGCAGTGTCGCTTATCTAAACAAACATTTTCCGGCCTTCTTCCTTTGACTTTTTCCTACTCTCCATTTTTCCAAGCAAACTATTTTATAATTTTTGTTTTTCTTTTGCAATGCTCTCCCGTGTTTGTTTTTTTTTTCTCTCCCTCTCTCTGGGGTTTCGCTTTCTACGCCATTCGTGGTCGCAGGGCAGTGCTTGCAGGACGGTGTTCTAGTGGCGGAGACGAGTGTTACGTGTGAGAAGAAACAGGATTGTCGTGCCATACAGAAGACAGGGCATTGCTGTCCAGATTACAAATGTGGTAAGTGGTTATAATAAATTCGATTCTTACTGGCTTAACTTCAAGCGCTGAGGACTTGGAATTAGTAGATAGTTAGTAATTACACAGTAGACTCGGCTTTATTCTCAGACAATTAAAGGGCATGTGTGCTAAATGAAATTATATATATGTATATTTAACTGGTACGAGGGTTACTTTTCATATTTCGGGAATCGGAAAATGTCTGTAGCAATTTGGCAACGTACAACTTTATCGAAAAGTCTGACATTTTTGATGAGAGAGAACAGACGTTGTTTACGGTAACTTAAAAGATTCATCTTTACCAAAAAATTGAATCAAATAGCGAACATTTTCGTGCGATTATTTTTTAACATTCTCGATTAACTTAGCAACAACCGCATCGATGAATCGATGAACTCAAATCGGTTTTCGGCGATGAAGCTCCATTAAAGACCAGTTATTCTTGTGATAGTCGCCAAAAATATCCCGCGAGTAGTGTTTAGGGATTGTTGCGGTATGACAGTCCTTGGCCGGTTAAAAATATGGATCGTTCCGGTATTAAGACCCGACTGTCGCGGAATTTTTTGGATTTAGACGCCCCTTACCACTGGCATTCATAACCCGGGCATTAAAGATCAGCGTTTATCGATGGAATGGTGAATTCAATCGAGGTCGTAGATCACTCCTAGACAAGTTTTGTGCAGGTGGTTTAAAATCAATTGCTTATCCCAATGCTATTGATGCTGTGTGCAAACTGACCTACCATAGGATCGGAAGGGAAGTTGGACCAGCGAAAATTCAAAATTGCATGAACGTTTGACGGTAAAAAGTATTTGTTCACGTTGGATTCGGCACATCTTGTCAGTCGCTCAAGAAATGTTGAAGAGGCCATCTTTATTCAACATACGCCGAATTGTGGTCCAACAGGACAACGCCAGGCCATATACGCCTTTGATGACGCACCAGAAGCTCCAGGATCTCAGATGGGAGGTCCTAATGCATCCACCTTATAGTCCGGACTTGGCACCAAGTGATTACCATCTTTTCCTGTCCATGGCGAACGCGCTTAGTGGTGAGAAGTTGGCCTCAAGAGAGGCCTGTAAAAATAGGCTCTCCGAGTTTTTTCCCAAAAGGTACGCAGTATTCTACGAGAAGGGTATAATGAAATTGGTATCTCGTTGACAACAAGTTTACGAACAAAACGGCGCATATTTGAATTAAATCGGACAAATGTACACAAAGTTATCATATTTTGCAGAATCAATAAAAAACCGAACGAACTTTTTGCCTAATATAATATATATAATTTAGGCTTTGTAACGGTTGAAGCGATTTTTCGACCGAACTCCTCCTCCAATTTGTGGTTTTGCGTCTTGTTGTTTTTCCAACAAATGGCAGCTGATGTTTTTTTTACGAGGAGCCTTTAGTTATTTCCGAAATACACTCGGAAGGGTGGACATTCCTTGCCGAACTACAACACATCGTCTAAAAAACTGACTTTTTGAGCAATCAAATTATCGATTTGATCAGTCATCCACCGTATAGTGCCGACTTGGCACCGAGTGACTTTATTTTATTCTGGTACATAAAAATAAGCTGAGAGGTCAACGTTTCTCGACAACTGAACAGATGAGGCGTTCAGAACGCTTGTTTTGGACTTACCTCAATCAGAGTGGCTAAAGTGCTTCGACATTGGTTCAAAGGATGGCAAAGTGTATATATCTCAATAAAGAATCTATTGAAAGACAATAAAGCTAAATATATTCGATAAGCTTAAACATATAGAGAAAGTATGGGAGCAATCATATCTTCATACAGAAAGTGGGCAATGTTTTGGACCGGTGTACCCATAATGCGGATGAGCTAACTTTGACTGTTGCCTACTTATTCCCTAACAAAGCAACAAAGTTATCTACATACATTTGTTTTAAAATTTTAAGCAAATCGGGTCATAAATATATAAATACGATTATTTTTAAATAAATCAGTTCCTCGTTCAATTCCTGGGGAAAATATGATTTTTCTTAACTTTTTCATATTTTTCCAATAAACGGCTTATGCTGTTAGCTGTTGATTCGTCGGTCATTTAGATATATATATAGATATATTTATACATATATACATATTATACATTATACATTATGTACTTATCTAATCACGAAATATAAAAGGCAATCCCCGTATGTATATAAATCAGAAATGCTCAACAAACCCAAAACAAAATTCCGTCGCTAACAAGAAAAATTAACTCAACGAAATTAAATCGTTTCGTTCCGGCGCAATGTCATCAAAACGAAATAAAATCGTTAACGTTAATTTTAAAACTGCTGCTTGTTATGATTTAACATTTAACATTATCTGTTAACGACATAACATTATCTGTTAACGATATAACATTATCTGTTAACGCTTAACATAATCTGTTAACGATTTAACATTATCTGTTAACGATTTAACATTATCTGTTAACGACATAACATTATGTGTTAACGAATTAACATTATCTGTTAACGACATAACATTATCTGTTAACGACATAACATTATCTGTTAACGCTTAACATTATCTGTTAACGACATAACATTATCTGTTAACGATTTACCATTATCTGTGAACGCTTAATATTATCTGTTAACGACTTAACTTTAACGACTGCTTTTCCTTTCGGGTAAAAATGAAAAGATTTTTTTTTTGCTTTAACGTTAACATCTCCAAATGCTTCAAACGCATCATCGTCGGAGTCTTAATTTAAATATATGAATTTTAATACGTTTATTTTACATTTTATGTTTTCTCACCCTTAAAGCGCTGTTTTTGTAGTGTGCCTCTAGATGTTTTTTTACAGATTTTCTAAGCCAACTCCGAAAAACTGATGCATTTTTATGAGCACCTTCTAGTTTCATGACAAAAATGCTCTCATTCATTCATTTAATCATTTTGTTTTTTCTTAATTGAAAGTCGCAAACATGCGAAAATAATGTTTATCGAAAAGAATCTGCAAGCATTATGCTTTGACTAGCATCGTTTCTTACCGTTTTCCTCGATGTCCTTATAAACAGGATCTGACTGACTGACGTTAAAAATTTCTTCTTCTTAAGTTTGGATTTCTCCATGAATATTTGCACACTGCAAACGGAAAAATGATGCTTAATACTGCATACTACTGGAGATACGTGTTCTGAAAGATTGTAAATAGTTATTGTTTACCTCTAAATATGATCGTAAAGGATTGCCCTACATTTTCGGCCTCATAACATTTGAGTGAAACCACAAAATGTGTATGTCATGCCTAAGAACCTTTTTGTTATTTTTATAACGCATAAATATATTTATTAGGGTTTTGTTACTAATTTAAGCACTAAATTTTTTCGAGGGGTGACATCTCAAAGGCAGTGGTATTTTAAGAAACCTTTAAATTTTTTTTAATATATTTTCTCAGCCAACCATACTAGTATACTAGATTTGGTGATGTTAATAATAATTTTATGCTATAATTTCTAATTTTCTTTTTTCTTTTTTTACTCTTAGACTGCCAGAAGGATGGTATAAATTATATGAATGGTGATAAGCTGGTAGATCCGGAAACACCCTGTACAGTGTGCTATTGTCAAGGTAAGTTGCGAGAACCTAAATTAATGGCGATTTTAGAATGTCTGAAGTAGATTTATTTACAAATGTGTATAAAATATATATAATCTTTAGTATAACATCAATAATGTAGAAATTCTATCATAAAACAAATATTTTAAAATTGTTTCCAAAAAATTAATTCTTTTATTTTTTGAGAATTTCCTTACGTAATTTTGTAACAAATTACTATATGTGTAAACAAATTTTAATTTATAATATTTTTCCCTATAACAGGTGGGGAAATACTTTGCAGTTCAGTGACATGCTTCCAAAGGGACGATTGCAAACCAAAGTACATACCCGGACGTTGCTGCCCTGAATACCATAATTGTCCTGGTAAGTTTTTCCCAGTGTTATTGTTAACTATCAATTATAAAATTACCTATATTTTTAAATATTTTTCAAAACCATTGGTGCATCCAATTATCGAACAAAATATTAGGTGTAGTAAAAAGCAATCCATTATTTTTACAATAGATGACGTTATATATCTGTATCTCGCGTTGTATAAGTCCGTTCGGGTTCCACTAGATGGCGTTAGAGAGATTACATTTCGTACCAAATAAACTTTCTGGACAGTTTTGTGACCAATGCATTCAGTTTTGTTTGAGCGTGCGTCAAAGATGAACACCAATACGCTATATTTTACAGTTTTCCTTCGATTAGAGCGAAAACGCAACCCAGGTGGCTTCAGATGTGAATAGCTTTCATGGTCCTGCTACTGTCACAGTCAATCATGCACACTTTCGATTTCATTTCGGTAATTTCGATGTAAAAGATGATTCCCTGAGTGGCAGGCCAATTTTCGAAAATGTCGATAAAAGTATGACCATTGTCGAGTCCGACCGTCATGTAAGCACTGTTTCGATTGCCCAAGAGCTTAAGATTGCACGAAAACGCTTTTGGAACCATTTGAATATGGCTGAACACGAAAAGTAAGAATTTAAAGCCTTAAATTTCTTGCAAAAATAATGGATTTCTTTTTACTAGACCTAATTTTATACACAAATGACACTGGTTTTGTATGATTTTGGATATATTTATGCTCACCATTCATAAAAACTATCAACGAATTTTCAAGATTTGCTCGGTTTTATATTTTATTTTTATTTTATCATCCAAGCGATTTTCGGTCGAAGAATTTTGATGCGCGTCTTGATGGTTTAGTCGCCTTCCACTAAATGCCTCCTAAGAGCTTTTTTTATAATTCCTCAATCTAGTTTTAAAGACCAGCAATAATCTGTCGTTATGTAATAATCTCATCGTCCTTGATACCTTTACTCAATAACTTTTAGATCCTGGTGATTCCTTTTTCCTTATTCCTCACTATAATTTTGCAGATTATACAGCTGATTGCGGAGAGTGTGTTACTTCATACTCATATTTGCACTGAGAAACCGAAAACTTTGTCAGCAAATGTTTGAAGAATTTCTTTATAATTTGTAGCATTTAAAGCCTAGTCGTCGCTGGGTCAATAAATTTTGCTATAAAAAATCTGATAATTCTTAAAAAGACAATAATGAACAAGAAAGAAGATCTTTCTGTGGTCATGCCGAAATCTGTATATCTTTCATGACTTTGAAAATTGTGGCATTTCATTTTAGGATTAAATATTTATACACATTTCTGAAAAGCTAGTTGGAGGGGGTTATATGATATAGTCCTCTGGTTCTCACGATTTTCGTTGACAATATTTATTTATTGTTAAAAATAATGTTTCGGTCCGGATGACATATGGCGCGCTGCGTCCAATCTTCGGTGGACATAATCGCACAATAGAGTCGATAATTCGAGTAACCATGAATCCCATGAATCCATGACTTTGGAAGATTTTGCGGAAGAGTCTTGTTGTGCGGGTTTACGAAATCCGAAATTCAAACAAAAATTCAAGCCCAATGACAATCAAGCGCGTCGTACGTCTAGTGAATAGGTCCAAAACGTGCAGCGATAAGGTTCACTTTAGGTTGAAAAGGTGCAGTAATAAATAAAATGTTCGCCTTTGCAGTGGTTATTATTCACAAGTCATTTTTGAGTACCCGTTGCATCTTCAAAAAAAAAAATAACTCTTTGGTGTGCTGTATGGGCAGAGGGAATCGTTAGTTCATATTTTGTAAAAAATTAAGAGATAACTTTATATTCAATGGGGTATGCTAATGACATTTTCGGGCCTAAATTCGGAGGATGTTGATGCGGATAACCTTTGGTATCAACAAGACGGCAGTACATAATATGGAAACAAAGACACAATCATTTTATTAAAAAAAGACTTTTGGTGTGCACATTACCTCGTATCGTTGCCCATTGGCGTGACCCCGACAATTATTAGGTGAAATCGGTCGGTTGGCGGACGCAATAGCCTAGTAGCTGGCATTGCGTACTTCCATACGGAAGGCCAGAGTAGGAGTCCTGGTTCGACCAACAACCAAAATTATAACAAAATAATTTTTCTAATTATTGTCACCCCTCGGTAGGAAGCGTCAACCCCTCCCTGTGTATATCTAACATGAAATAAAAAGGGCTCCTTATAAAAATCCATCAGCCGTCCTGAGATGGCTTAGAATAAACCTTAAGCCCATCCATATGTTGGAAAGATATCAAGACGAACATTATAATTAGGAAGAAAATCCCCTTTAGCGGTTACAACGCACCAAATCTTGTTTAGTGAACCCATTAAAACTGCAGTGGACAGCCATTAGAGCTAATACATTTACTCTTTTCCTCGGTTCGAATTCCACAATTAGGTTTTCATGAGTCGAAAAAGAATGTTCTCAATTACAGGTAATGACTGGAAATGTTGAATAAATTTTGATTGCGCCGAAAATGTTATCGAAAAAGTAACTTCAACACCAACTTTAAGCTCCTAGCGCAGTTATTATGCAACTATCAAGGGCGTCCTCCTGCTGTATACGGTCATGTATAGAAAGAGTTTCGAATCACAATCGAATATATGGCAATCATTTGTATGGGAGTACATACGATTTAGACGCTTTCGAAAAACTCAGGAACTAGTCAGCTTACTTTTCTATGTCTCCTTATCGTACTTACATACATATGTACAACTTCAGTTCAAGTTCTCTGTATCGAAACAAAGTTCAAATACCATTTTATTTTTATGAAAGAAATATGTATGAAGAACACTAAAATTATTTAAAAATTAAAACAAGTACATACATACATATTAACATAAATACTCGTATTCCCGGAAATTTAATATTTGCAAAGTTGCTGGCTTTTGATGCTAATATTTATTTGTCGTTTTTTTTTCTTTGTCCTTGCAAACCTTTAGTAGGTGAAGATTGCCGGTTGTTATGCATTTTTTTCAAACTTCTCTATCGCAATAAATTTATGGCATCATCTTGCCTATGGTGAAAAACTTTTTTTTAAGTAAAAATGAAGAAAAATTTGGAAAATACGCTGGTGGGGAAAAATAAATGTGCACATTTACATACAAATATAATATATAAAAATAACTTCCGAATTTTCTTCATTCTTGCTTAAGAGATCTTTGACCGAGTCTGGCATGGAAAGAAATTTCTCTTAGCCTGATGAAAAATTTAACAGTTTTCTAATATCACTGCATTTAAATTCTTTTCATTTCTCAACCACTAGTCTCCATCTTCGATCCCAGCCATAATGTAAATCAATCAAACAATCTACCAAGTCCAGTTGCCGAAGCGAACGCTGTCACCTCCCCAACAACGCAAACCGCAGCACCCGTAATCGTGGCACAACCGAACATCACAATCAAAGAGATCACCAAACCGATTGAGATACGTATTACCGATGACAACAAGGCCATACCGATTCATCAAATGCTCAAACCTCAGACTACAGCAGCAACTACTACAACAACAGCAACAACAGCAAGTGAACAAACATCAACAACAGCAGCATTTGTAGCAACGGGCGATATCAGCACAACTCAAACGCCGGCAGCGGCAGCAGCAACAAATCCAACAAATCCAACAAACATAGAGCACAACGACAACAACAACAACAACAACAACAGTGGTGAATTAACCAATACCAACATTAAAGTCACCAGCAACGAAAGTTTCACCACAGACAACAACCGTCAAATTCTACTTCCAGTCGCCGGGGACGTTAATAGTGTGGAGAGCTTAAAGCTTAGCGCTTCAGTCGCTTATCCGAGCACAGAACGAAATACAGTAACGGCGATTTTAACACCAAATGGTGCAAGCGTGGAAAATAGCAGTGAGGTTTCCGCGGAGGTGTCTCAGTTAATAGAAGATGGCAGCGGAATACCCGCTTTTGGCGCACAAGAGCTTCAACATGAGGCGATCTCAAGCGATCCAACGAAAGTGAATATCAAGCGTGAGAATTTAGCAACAACTGAGCGCACCACTGGTAGTGTAGTTGGTGAGGAATATGGTTCATCGGAGCTGCTGGACGGCAACAGCAATGTGCAAAATGGCGGTTTACTCACACAAGGCACATTTGATTTGGAGCCAGAAACCGCAGGTAGTGATAACATATATCACATCATCTTGACCACTTCCGGACCACGTGTTGACGAAAGTACAGATGCTTTTGCCGGTTTTCATATAACTGAAGGTAATTTTTGTATTAAGAATTGTTTAACTTTTTTAAAACACTTTTCCAAAATCCGCAGATCTTCAAAACCCTGTCGATGTGGAGATACAAGCCGAAGCTTCCAATCCACAACACTCTGTAATTCTGCCCCCTCCGCAGTTATTAAACTTTACTAAGTCTCCAATAGATTTGCGAAATACAACAAAATCAACAACCACAGCGCCTGTTAAGCCAACCGTTAGTACAGATGCGCCCGAGTTAACATCCGTCTCCACAGAGTCGGCAAAACACACAAGTGACAGCGCGCATCATATTGAAGACGAAGAAACCGCTATACCAATGGAAGCGAACCCAGCCTATCCTTCACTACCCGAAGATGATTTTAGCTTGCGCGACGTAAACTTTCCACTAAACGAAGCCGATGATGCTTTCGAGGCAGATTCCAAAGATGAACAACGAAGTATTGGTGTTAGCGCTTTCGACGCTGCCCGGCCACGTAGGCCGACAGAGGAGGGTAGTGGCAGTGGTGCTGAATTGATTATGAGTTCGTCTACTGCAGGCTATGAGGCTGAGCAAACTTCGGAGAGTGCAACAAAAGTAACCACAAAAGTTGCACTTCTTATGAACTCAGCTGAAGATCTTTCAGCCGAGACAGCAATTTCTAACAGCAGCGATTTTCAATTAGATCGTCTGTCACGACTCGCAAATAATTATTCCAATACGGATTCTACCGAATCACAGGAAGATCAGTTAAGCAGTGAATTGGGTAGCGGTAGTGGTGAGTCAACGGAAATGGTAAAAAAAATTAACAAAAGGCGAGAACCCACCACACCACGACCAACACCACACGCTGCCGTGCAAGTAGATATCGACGAGTTGGGCGACAACGCTTCGGGCGATGGTAAAAGTGATCCTGCGGACGATCCTAAGCTAGATGCGGAGAGTATAAAAGCAGATGAGAATGTAGAGGAGGGTATAGTAAAGCAAGAGGGAGGCCACAAGGAGGATGTGTTGACCGTGAATACGAAGCCGGCTGAGGAGCATGCTGTGGAGGAATTACCCGTAGCGCAGGCTTTTGGCAGTATACAGCGAACGTTGCTGCGTTTTCTTTGAAAACAACAATTTTGGAAAGTTAAGTTTTGAAAAACGTTTAAAAGAAACTAGGTAATATTTGTATTGAGTACAGTATGCTGTAAATATATATTGAAGATAAGTAATGTCTTTACTTATTGATTTCTTTTATTATTATTTTTTGCTTGATTGAGCAAAAGCGTAACTAAGCATTATGAGTATTGATATTGAGTATTGATCAAATGCATGACTTTTAGTTTGTAAATGAAATATGTATGGACGTATGTACGGAGAAAATATACACATGAGAAAGATTGGAGAATTTTTTTTTTTTTAAATTCACTCAAAAATTTGTAAATTAGCACTTACATGAAAATTGCCATTTTACGACTTAATGCATACTTTCAGTTATGCTCTAAGAGTTTTACTAAATTTAAGAGTTGTTGTGGAACCCGTAACAGTTCATTTTCAAATATGAATGAATTTTTCTAAAAAAAAAAAATAAAATAAAAATTATGATTGTATGTTATATGAAGTAGATTTTATAATGAAAACATTTCTTAGACAAAAGTACTTTAAGTTTAAGTAATATTATATTATTTGTATGCACACATACACGTATGTATATATAAATATTCAATGTGGCCGAGAATTAATTTACTTTAAAATTACTTATATAAAGCGCAATAATTTATATCAAAACCATATTTCAGCGTGGAATTTTTTATATCGAAATTGTAACGGTTTAAAAGTGTGGAAAAAATATAATTTTGAAATCAAGTTTTTTATTAAAAAAGTTAGCGAAGTTAAAAATAATAATAATAAATGCCTTATTTTATTTTTATTATTTTTTTTGTTTATTATTATTATTTTTATTATTTATTATTTTTATTATTATTATTATTATCATTTTTATTATTTTTATTATTTTTATTTTTATTATTTTGTTATTATTATTATTATTATTATTATTATTATTATTATTATTATTATTATTATTATTATTATTATTAATATTATTAATATTATTATTATTATTGTTTATCATTATTTATATTATTTTTTTGTTTATTATTATTATTTTTATTATTTATTATTATTATCATTATTATTATTTTTATTTTTATTATTGTTATTATTATTATTATTATTATTATTATTATTATTATTATTATTATTATTATTATTATTATTGTTTATTAATATCATTATTATTTTTATTACTGTTATTATATTACTATTATTTTATTTTCTGTATTTATTCTTATTTTTTTATTATTATTATTACTATTTACAATCTTTTTTTAACATTATTATTATATTTTATTATATTTATTTAATGTGATATTTTATTATGATTATAATAATTTTATTGTCATAACATTTATATTATTATTATTATTATAAATTTTATTTTATCATTTTTTATGATCATTACTAATAAAAAATTGTGTTTTTATTACTTTTGATTATTATTATTAATATTTTTTTTGTCATTATTATATTTTCCTTATTGTGATTTTATTTTGATTATTATTATAATTTTTTTATTTTTAATATTATTATTATTTTATTAATATTATTATTATTTATATTATTATTATTTTTATAATTATTCCTATTATTGTTTATTTCCATTATTTGTTTATTTTATATTGTTATTATTATCACATTTTGTTATTATTAATCTTATTAATCATTATATTTTGTTATTTTGTTATTTTTAACCTTTTTATGATAATTTTTTATTATTATTTTGTTTTTATAATTTTTATTATTATTATTATTAATTTCTTTTTTGCGATAAATATTTTTTATTATTTAGATTTTTTAGTTATTACAATTTTACTTTTATTATTTAACATTGTTTTATTATTATTATTATTATATATTTTTTTACGATTTTACGATTATTATGATTTTATGGTTTATTTATTTTATTTAATTATCTTTTTATTACTATAATGTTTTTCTTATTTTAATATATTTTTATTATTCTAAAAATATGTTTTTTAATTTAATTTTATAACTTGTTATTGTTATTATGATAATTTTTTTATTATTTTATTCTGAATTTTTATAATATTATTTATTATTATATTTGTATTATTTTTTTGTTTTAAATTATCATTTTTAATTTTACAATTTTTTAATATATATATATTTTTTTATTTTTTATTATTATTTTTTATTGTTTTTTAATTTTTTTTTTTTTTTTTGGTTATTTTTTTGTTATTACTTTTAATATATATTTTTTTAGCTGATCTTAAAAAAGTGTTCTATATAAAGCTCTGTACAAATCCTAAAGAGAGCAATGTTTCAGACGCCTGTTAACCCTAACAGTTTATATGGATGTTAAAGAATTAAATTTTTTCATTAGTTTATGTAAAACTGGTTTCAAAATTTGCATAATATTTACACATGTATGCAAATAGATATGAAAAAATTTTTGTATGAATTATTACTTTATATAAGTAATTTTTATAAATAATGTTTTATTCATGCCACGATAGTAGAACAACGAAAGTATAACAACAAAAGCTGGGCTCCCAATATGCAATAACTCAAATTAGCATGAAATATGCATATACATACATACATATTTAAACAAAACTTTAAAATACAATAAATTATGTTCATTTTGTTTATAGAAAAAAATGTTCAAATAAATTCCACGCACTCACTCATAAACAATGCATATGTATGCATAAATAAAACGCAGTAAAGACACGAATTTACACTTTAACTAACTAAAGCTATGCATAAGAAAAATTCATCGATATTTAAAAAAATACGCAACTAATTTTAAAAAATATTTTGAAAGGTAACTAATATTATTCCCCTTGGTATAAACGAAAACCAACTCAAAATGGTATTAGTTCCTGCACTTATCATACAAAACATTTAGTTGTAGAAGAGTAAAAATTAGTAATATTTCACTTAAAATTATAGAAAAATTATACTTAAGACAATTTTAGTTTTAATTAAATGTAAGAAACATAAGAAATATTTGCTATAGGAAATATTAATTAGTTTTTCAAATTGCAACATTTCAAAAGTATATTTATATTGAAATTTTCCATTATTCCACAAGCGCTGTAAGCATTAAAAATTTTACATGAAACTTTTTATTACTATTTTATTTTGTACTAGATATGAGCTAAGATTATATTATAACAGAGATGTTCAACTAATGCTGAAATCACACTAAACTCATCGTTAACATTATTTTTAAAATTGCTGCTTACTATGATTTAACAGCACACCTCAATATTAACGTATAACTTTATCTGTTAACGGGTTAACATTTCAATGTTAACGATTTAACACTTCAATGTTAGCGTTTAACTTCATCTGTTAATTTAACACTTCAATGTTAACGCTTAACATTAGCAGTTAACGATTTAACACTTCAATGTTAGCGTTTAGCATTATCTGTTAACGATTTAACCTTTCAATGTTAACGTTTAACATTATCTGTGAGCGAGAGCATTTCGCTTCGGTTAAAAACGAAATAAAATTTATTTCGATAACTGCTTTAATGATGAAATTTTCGAATGTTTCAGTCGAATCGATTGAAATTTTTCGATTGAAATTTTTCGATTGAAATTTTTCGATTGAAATTTTTCGATTGAATTGAATTTTTTCGCTAAAATGCAGCCTTATGTTATAATATATGAAAAGTCAAAATTTCTAGTAATATTTTTTTCCTTCTCTCCCACAACACCTCAACGGTAATTTATCATTTTCAGGTCACATTATGCAAGCAACTAAATTCATATGATTACCTCTCTACCGTAACAATAAATTGCAATTATATAATATTATATGTAAACTAATTTTTAAGTAAAATAAAATAAAATAAAAATATAGTAAACTCTGCGAACAATTATCCTCAGCAATTATATATATGTATTTAATATACAACACAAATGCAATTACATTTAATTATTATTAATTATCTAATACTGCTAAACATTATTATTAAATATTCATAATAAATTCATAAATATTATAGAAATTTAATTTAATATATTAGTAAAACATAAATAAATAAAAATCTTTAGTCCTTTTTAATTTACAATTTATCGCTTTGTTTTCACTGGCAGATAATTAATTAATTAGATTTCTTGATTAATTTTTAATTATTATTTTTAAATTATTATTATTGAAATGTATTTTCATCTATAATACCAAACATGTTTTGTTTTAGTTAAAAGTCAGGCATTTAAATTGTCTTCACCGACGAAGCCCATTTCCCACTCGGGGGATGCGTAATTAAACAAAAATGTCGTATTCGTGGCTCCGAGAATACTGAGATATTTGAAGAGAGACCTGTTTACTCACAGAAACTGCCTGGTTCGGTGGTGTGATTGGACCTTAATTCTATGGTGACGACAACGGCGAGACGTCACGGCCAATTCGAAGCTTTTTGATCGTAATTTGGTTTGCAATTGAACTCAACTTGCATAATCTGTGGTTTCAACAAGTTGGTACCACCTGCAGCACAACACGAGCGAATATATCTTTATTGAAGAGAAATTTCCCATCCGAGCATTCGCTTGTTATGGCGATGTCAAATGGCCTCCGAAATCATGCGATTGGACACCGTTGGAATTTCTTTGTTGGACTACGCGAAATACCTTTTATATGCGGATAAACCTTTAACTCTTAAGTACTTGAAAACCAACATTCGTCAAGTTAAGGCTGAGATACCACCCGATATGTGTCAAAAAGTGGTCGGAAATTATCTAAAATTATCGCGAGGCGGTCGAAAACTCTACAAGTCGCTCAACATACCCGTCCTACTATATGGCGCAGAAGCGTTGACGATGGCATCATCTGATGAGTCGGCCCTGGGAGTCTTCGATAGAAAAGTTTCGCGAACGATTTATGGTCCTTTGCGCATTGCCAAGGGCGAATACCGCAGACTATGGAACGATGAGCTGTACGAGCTATATTATGGTATTGACATAGTTCAGCGAATGAAGAGGCAGCGGCTACGTGGGCGGGGCCACGTCGTTCGATTGGATGAAACCACTCCAGCTTTGAAAGTATTCGTTGCTGTAGCCGCTGGTGAAGGCAGAGAAGATAGTTGATTAGAGAAAATTACAGACTTCGCCGTTTATGGTTGTCTATAGCACCAGATTATACCACAAGAAAATGGTACCAAGCTATAACCAAATATATAGTATTGTGAAATTGCGGTGTTCTAAATGTGCTTGAGTTTCGAGAATCTAACATCGATGCGGCACTATTTGTCTCAGCACGTATCTTTCGCGCGCCTGCAGTCAAACTCAAGGGAGCTCATTGACAAAGATAAACTGCAATCACAACAGACGGCCAGAGGGTTTTTCACTCGACTTGCATTCGATATATGGAAACTGTAGATTGGCATTTCAAGCTCCCTCCGTACCGCCGCTACAGAAACAGTTGGTTTTCGCCAACGTTGTAAAAGGAGTTCGATAGTACGATGAGGAATGCAGTCAAGATGAAACAGACAGTCTACCTCGTTACTTAGAGATCGACCACGACACATGCCAGGTGATGTAGATACCGAGAGCTGAAGAGGGAAGCAAGATACTCTTGAAGGCATAAAAATCCAGTGACTGAAATTAGTGAGTCTGGCCAGAACATACTAAGTTTATGAGGGGAGT